GAGAACCAAAAGACTATGTCCAGTTTCGTGTGGAACGATGTATAGAGGACTTGGCTCAGCTCGACATGATGTGACTTGCCACAAATCTATTGCTTCTGCCTGGCTCCAACAATTGGCGAATCCTGCTTCAGACTGAGGTTAGGACCGCCCACCTCATTAGCATACGGACACATAAATACATAAATAAATAAATGTATGTCGCGTAAATGTAGAAATAAATGAAAGATATATAATAATAACGTGTGTTCTGTTTTATTTTCGACATTTATTTATTTATACATTGATGTATTTATTTCCATATTTATTTATGCATTTATTCTTTTATTTATTTATTTGTGTATTCATTTCAACATTTATTTATTTCTGTATTTATTTCGTCATTTATTTATTCCTGTATTTATTTATTTATTTACGTATTTATTTATTTATTCCTGTATTTATGTACGTAATTTATTTATTCCTGTATTTCTTCATACATTTATTTATTTATACTTAAGTCATGTTCCGTCCTCCATAAATCACATCCTTGCCGAGTGTTGGATGAAAAGATCGATAAGTGGACCCTCTCATGTCCTCCCAAGTAAAACCAGGAGCTGGCTGGCTATCTTAGATTAGCTTAGCATACAGACTTCAAGCAGGGGGGAAATGTTAGCGTCCAGGAATAACAAAATCAAGCTATTTTGACCTACACATTAAATATAATTTATAAAACATTAAAGATTCACTGTAACCAGAAGTAACTTTTTAACTATTCAACCCAGTCTCATGGCATTGCGTGTTACAGTCACGAAATGTAATCTATTGATTCGTGTTCACCAACACAATTTTCGTGCAGGCCCGGACTGGCCATCGGGAGGACCAGGAGGTTTCCCGATGGCCAGGCCTGTTGGCCTGCGATTTTTTAAAATGTTATGTATTGTGAACGCAACGCTGCGCAAATGTGGGTCTGCCTCACACAGGGTGACTGTCTGTCTACATGATGTGGCCTGCTGACAGGGCCGTCCCTCCCTACAGGCTGATCACGCAGACTGCGTGGGGCCTCACCTCGCGGAGGGGGCCTCATCTTGCGGAGGGGGCCTCATCTTGCGGAGGGGGCCTCATCTTGCGGAGGGGGCCTCATCTTGCGGAGGGAGCCTCATCTTGCGGAGGGAGCCTCATCTTGCGGAGGGAGCCTCATCTTGCGGAGGGAGCCTCATCTTGCGGAGGGAGCCTCAACGGAGTTGCAAATGTGGCGCACCTATAGGCTTATGCGGTGCATAGTGTGGCGCGGCACGGTTTGCGAGGCTCCACTAGCGCGAGGGTTTAGATAGTTAACTTAGTCTAATGGCGCATTTCCACTGTAGCCCCGTTTAAGCGTCCTTAATCGTCCTCAAGCGGCCAGGCCAGTTTTTGGTGGCCTTTCCATATAGCGTAGCGCCAGCTAGCGGGTACTTTTTCCCTCTTTTTCCGGCCCCATAAAATCATGGTTCTATCAGGCCAGGGTTGCGTTCCAATAATCCAAAAATTAGCTCCTAAATTCTAACCCTATCTCCTATTCCTTGACCTCTGAGTGAAACGTCACGGGGTTAAGGGATAGTGGATAGGAGAATTCAAAAGGACTTAGGAGAAGAGACTGCGGTACTTTAGAGAATCCGAATGCACTTTCACTATCCAACGTGTTTATGATGCGCCAGCGGACGTCATTGTGTGCGTCTGCTGCTGTGGGGAAACTATGGAAACTACAGTTTTCTATACAGCGGACTACAACATGGATGTATAATAAGAAGGAGGGACTACTGTAAACTCATCTAGAGACTCTGCACCGTGCTCTGATGCTGTTGTTTTATGCTTTATGAACGTGGACAACAGAGAAACATATTCTTCATGACCAAAGTTGGAATTTAAATAAAAAAGGAAAGTGAAACTTATGCTCGTCACCCTCTCCCTCCGGTCCACATTTATACAAATGGTCCCAATACGTATGATTGTATGAACTATTAAAAGATCTTAAAAATAAATACAAATGGATTTATTATAAACGTTAGCCCTTAACATCTATCACTGTGTATATCACCATTCAAACATCTTTTAAAAGTTGAACAAACCCCACAGCTCAGTAAACACTGTGAAATGTTGACTTTATTTGATAATTTCAGTAAAAACTAACGTTCATATTTCTCTTTTTGATTATAATACTGATGAACGTTCAGAACAAAGCACTTTGGCAACTTACCACATACGTTTTAAAATGCTTAATAAGCACCGTAACTTTCATGATATAATTTTTCCGTCATAATCGGTTGTTTCCGTGAACGGCCGACTGTTGAGTGACGGCAAATGCTGCGGCTGCAATGCATTGTGGGGCAGCATTTTCTCCTCTCCTTTCGGTAAGGGAGGTCCAGTGGTTCCTAAGCTAAAGGAGGTTATAAAGGAAGTTTGAAACCTCCTTTCCTTTCATTTGGAGAATTGGAACGGCACTTAACATGGCTGCCAGTGACGTACTTCCGGGTCATTTCACTTGGTTAGGAAGGTTCCTAAGCTAAATGGACTATTGGAATGCAACCATGAATGCAACCCAGGGCCAGGGCTGAACTAGTGACGTCAACACTCTCGACTGCTGATTGGTCAGAGAGAATCGTCACAAGATCGCGCACGAGATCATCCCTAGCGTCGCATATATATCTAGAAGCAAGCTTGCAGCATTTTTATACACAGCATTTTTGTAAACGGAGGAGCTACAACAATGGCAACGTCAAAGAAAAGCACCGTGGTCGACCGAGGAGGTGACGACGTTCCTACATCTCATTGGGGATGATAAAATCCAGCGGGAGCTCGACAGAACAACTCGAAATGTGAAGGGAAAAAAAGCCGATCGCCCCGCCTACACTGGAAATGCGCCACGGCCTCGGACGGCCAGCGAGGCAGCCCGAGGCCTGAGCGAGGACGCGTAGGGACGCTTAAACGGGGCTACCCCGCTGCAGTGGAAATGTGCCATAAGTTATCTCAGTGGGTCTCAAACTGTTTGGTCACCATTTATGTAAACACATATTTCCATTTGAGGGGAGAGTGATTAGTAAAATATGCATGAATAAAAAGAGGAGCAGGGGGGGAGAGGAGGGAGACAGGTGAGGCTTGTTCAGGAGCCTAGACACACTAACAACTATAAATGAACCAAACATAAATAAATAAACAACTTTAAATAAAAATGTATGGATCTGTTTCATCAGGGTGTATCCATACAGTAGATCTAGTCTCTTTATTTTCCCCTCAAAATGCACCAGATTGATGCATTTAACTCAAAAATAAATCGTATGCATGCCCCCGGACCCCCCTAGAGGATTTGAGGTCCACCCCCACTTAAAATATTAGTAACCCCTGTCCATATGTTTATTATTGGGTAGATTTAAACTAAAGGGCTATCACTATGGGCAGCAACGCTGTAAATATTCACAAATAAATCCAGCAAAATGCCACAAAAAAAACTGGTAGTGGCCTGGCTGGGTGTATAATTCCCGGCCTGACTTATTGTCCCAGTCGAGCCCTGTTTTCGTGTCACACAGAACGATTTTAAAAGCAATGTATTTCTATAGTGTTTCGTGCCTGCACCACGTCTTTTTGTCCTGTCTGGTCTTGGAACAACCACTGTGTGGTTCATAAAAACATTTTCTTACTCAATATCAAGCCAAGATTTTTATTTTTATTTTAAATCGTATAATGTCGGACTTTTTTTTGCCGTTTTAAAATCATTTTTTCCTTCTAATTTGTTATTATTTTCTAAATAACACACTGTTATTTACTCAACAATAACACACAATTATCCTTGTTTTTATTTATTTGTTTAATTCTATAATCTCTGGCTTTTTTGCCGTCAGTCAGGTTCATGTTATGACCGTCTTTTCTATGTTGCTGTGGGGTTTTTCGAGCGTGATTGCGATACATACCCACTGAACTGATTACCCAAGATCCTCAGCTATGGTTGAAGCTCAGTGATTCGATGTTTTAGCCGCAATGCATGTTGGGATATGGTGTTTATGCGATATGAAATCCGAAAACATTTAAAAAAAGAAATAATAATACTTTATTCCGAGTGTACTTGCTTTTCTCTTTGAAAGTCATCACATAACGGCATTATCAATCTTAGTGGGACATCTTAGACGTTGTCTCTGTCTCGTGTTTATTTTAGGCTTAAGTCAAGTCTACTCCCTGCTCCAGTAGAAACATGAAGGTTTCTCCAAAGCCTGATTTAACTGCAGTTACAGCCTGTTTGATGCATCTGAGTTTGACCGTGGGGGTGATTTAGAGAGACACAGCAAAAGAAAACCAGCTGTGAGACAGGCACAGTTTATGAATGAAAACAGGAAGAATGGATTGAGACAGAGTTGGAAGGAGAGAGACAGGAAAACAAGCATCTGTGCAAGATGTAAATATTGGGGCGGTGGGTTGACAGAACTTTGACAGAAACAGCCCGAGTCTGAAGACACTCACTCAGTCACACTCACAGATGGAGAGTAAGAGGAATGTGATGCTTTACTACAGTGAAATGTATGGTTCCTTCGGTATGTGTATGTTTTCACTGATTTATCTGCCTCTCATGTGCAGTCAGTATTGTATACTAATGGAGAAACTCTAGTAATATAAAATAGGACATTTGTAAATAATGGTTGTGTCAAACAAATGCAGTCTCCTACTTAAGCTATACTTTACACAAGGTCACAAGAGTCATTAGGGAAAGGTACATATGGATTTTATTACAGTCTCAACCCATTTCCACACTATTCTTTGTGTTTCCTCTTATCTCTGTGAGGATCTTTGTCTAAATCTTTAAAGCAGTCTGGTTTTGTAGAGTGTCTCTGTCAAAGTAAATGTTTCATGAGCTGTGGGCTGCGGGAGAGACTTTTCTATCTCTGTCTGCTGTAGTTTTTACATTTTCCCCCATTGCTCTACCATATTATAGCTGTTTCAGGAGATTGACACTACATATATTCTTTTGCATTCTCTGAGTTTGTGCCATCTTTCTCCAGGCATCTGTTGGCTCCTGGATATCAGGAAATATGGTACACTCCCGAAGGAGTTCGCAAGTCCTCCTCTCCTGGCAACACTGTAAGTCTGTGCGACAGTTTGATGCTCTCCCTACAGTGGGGAGCTGTAAATGATCAGTGAAGAGAAATAGACACAATTTTGGTTGATCAAAGCCTTGGCAGGAGGATAACAGGCAGTATGGTCGTCAAATAATACATTTTATGCTCACATAATAAGGTCTTCTGGTTGAATGATGGCCTTATCACTGCACCAGTCTGCTTCCCCACATAGAGAGTACGTGTTAAGTTCTATTATCGTTGTCTTTCAGGGACACTGTTTCTACCATGGGGAGGTTCTGGGCATGGAAGGCTCAAGTGTTGCTGTTAGCACATGCTCAGGACTCAGGTGAGTAACACTTCATAAAGTTGTCTAATATGTAGAGTTGGTCCCAATGGTGAAAGGCATTTCTTAGAATTTGAAGAAGTCTCCCATAAGACGTTATCCTTTTAAAAGTAAAAATATTAAAAAAGCGATTCATGAAGACAGCTCTTTTCTCCAGTTTCTCCAGCAAAGCAGTAAAGAGCTGTGAGAAGTAGAGCCAAGAGAAAGTTTCCCAATACTCCCAAACAGGGAGTAAGTGCTGCAGAATAAATCTTGGATGGATTATGTTTGTGATTCATCTTATTAAAGATGTGTTGGCACTGCGAGATCAATGAATTAAAGCTTTTAGCTCCATTAATACTAATTTACGCTCTCAGTTCATTTGTTTTCTAGCTGACAAGAAAACACTTTGGGCCAACAGGACATAATTAATGGATACACTTTTACAATGTAAGTGATATAATACCTGTCTAAGTAGCATGCAGTAAATTACTGTTGTTCAACATTCTCTATTTGGTGGAACTTGTCCAATGTTGACACAGATTAGAACAGATCTTGTCAGAAACTGCATTAATCAGAGTCTAAGCTGGGAATCCTTACTGTGATTTATTTAAGTACAAGTTATGTGCTCCCAGAGAAAACCCTTAGATTGATTTAAACATAAGTTTCTTGATGACAATATTATAACTAAAGGTTGCACAACTGTCCAGCCTGTTATCGACCCATGAAGTAGATAAGGGGACAGGAAACAGTTGTAGTGTCTTGTGCAGTCCAGTATGTTAGTAGGTCATTGGCTCCAGAGCTGGTTCATTGAGTACAGCTCAGTTTGGAGATCCTGTGTTTCCTCCTGCTGTATATGCAAGGCTGCTGACCCTTCCTGCTAGAGACAATCAGACAGGCCGGCAGCAGAGGAGGAACTGAATCGTAGCCATATGTGTGTTTATGTGGGCTCAGCGCTCTGGAGGATGAGTGAATGAATAAGTCTTCCTATGTGGATGTTCTGGGGGAATGCAAACACAGCAGAGAGGGACATCAACATGTGGGAGTCTGACCTCTCCAGATGTTTTGTACAGCTGCTTGACCTGCTGCTGTGTGCATGCGTGTGTGTGTTTGTGTTTAGACGTCTGCCATCATGAAAGAGTTTTGTCAGAATGCCAGAGGAGTGTGTGTAGCCCTTTGTGTGCTGCAGCTGATCTTCATTTATAAACGGCAGTAAATCGCCTGAGATGCGACGTTCTGCTCCACCCATCCATAAAACCACCACAGCCAAATAAAAAATTCCAGATTTGACATGCAGACATTAGTTTGACAATGCAATAAAAGATTACTGTTGGTAATAACATTAAATCAGAGGTTTGAGACGTATTTGCAGAAACTATGATTTCCACAGTCCATCACAGTGTGCAGATTCAGTCAACAACATTATTGATCCACCTCGAGCCCTGATTGGATGGAACCATTAACAGCGACTTGTTTTCCCAGGGGACTGATTTCTCTGAACACAAGTGTCAGCTACCTGATCGAGCCTCTTCCTGTTTCCACGGGCGCACAGCAGCACGCCGTGTTCAGAGCCGAGAGTCTCCATCTACCCAAGGGTAGCTGCCTGCATCACCATGGCAACAAGGAGCATAAGGAGGGGCTTAACGACTTCCTCCATGGAATGATGTCACCACGGAGCAGGAGGGTGAGTTAGGACAGGGAGAATGATGACGACTGAAATCCTTTGCAAGTTTTACACAAAGCATGCACACCATCTATTATAAACAATGCTTTCTCTATTTTCAGGAAAAAAGGGACCTGAGTAAGAGTATGAAATACGTGGAGCTGCTGCTAGTGGCAGACAAGGCTGAGGTGAGGACAGGAAGGTTTCTTTATGACATCATTCAATGTGGGAGTACAGGAAGAGGCTTTAAACCTAATTAGTAGCCAATGAGACATAAGAAAAATGGGTACCACTTTACAATAAGACTACCCTTATAAAGGATTCATAAAGGTTCCAACATAGACATCAACACAGGCTCACTATTTGGCAAGACGACTAAGCCTTATATTGGCTACTTAGTGAGAATCAACTCAGTGAGCAACAGATACCAAGGATGCTGGCTGATGAAGAAGACGAAGTAAGCTAAGTAGCCAATATAAGGCTTAGCAGTACAGATAAATATGGGCTCACTATTTGGCAAGCAACCGGTCACAGTTGCCCTGTTTATCTCATGTCTTATAAAAGCTTATTAATGATTTATAAAGTGTTCACAACCTAATTAATAAATGAATTACAAACTATTCGTAAACCCTTTATAAGGGTAGTCTTATTGTAAAGTGGTACCGAAATATGCATAAGGTTAACAATATTACTTAAAACAAAAAGGAATGAAGGTGCAAGTAAGCCACTCACCTTGACCACAGATAAAATAACTAACAGGTAACAGATACAAGTCAGGAGTAGACAAGGACACTTGCATATCAAGACAAACAAAAAGAGCAAAAGCAAGCTGAGAGACATATAATAAAGACATCAAATAAAGTCCTTTTTTAGAGGGAAGGCAGGGGGAGGGTTAACTGTGGTCAAATGTGAAATAGTATGTGATTTTTATTATTTTTTGGCAGGGACTAGCTCTAGTGATATATGTTCAGAGATTATGATTCATTGTATGTAGGTGTATGGACTTACTACTGGAGAATAGTTCTCTTAGTTTAGAACAGTCTACCAGGTGAGGTAAATGTGAAACTTTAAATAGCTTTTAGGTGTTAATGTGAGCGTGAATAGCTGTCAGTCTCAATATGTTTAGAATTGTTTCCAGCTATTCATATGCAGTACATTATTGTATAATTGCCTCACACAGTATTGCAATCAAACTAAATATAGAAAGCAACGTCAGTAACTTGCACCCATCACTCTATTTAGAGCTAGTTATTGTGAATATAAAGCTCAGATTCACATCCTGTTTGTTGTCTGAAGTCCCCTTTTTACGGTTCGAGCAGATGTACAACTCATAGCGTGGGTGTGTCTGTTTCTCTGTTTAATTTGATGTATGTGGTTTGCAGTTTGAGAAGCATGGAAGTAGTCTCGAGAAGACCAAACAGAAATTACTTGAAGCGGCCAACTTGGTTGACAAGGTAACATCTGATTTGACAAAAAACTGACTCATCAGGTTCGTGATGCCTATATGTAGTAGTTAAACTCTGTGTCTGTGGCTTTTCCTATCCACACCCGCAGTACTACAAGGCTTTAAACATCCGCGTGGCATTGATCGGTCTGGAGGTGTGGTCCAGCCAGAACATGATCAGCGTTTCGGACAACCCTCACAGCACTCTGGCAGCGTTCCTGTCCTGGAGAAGCAAACAGCTCCGCTCGCTGCCCAACGACAACGCTCAGCTCATCACGTCAGTGTGTTATTCTACCTCTCATATTTCCATCTGCCATACTTCACTCTCTACAACAACAGTGTTGTTTAGTAGATCTCTTAATTGATATTTGCTTGATTGCATGAGACTATAACCATCACCAGTTATATCCCAGTGGGCTGTTGTGCAGTTGGAGCTAATTACCAAGGGCATACTGTGTCGTTTTTAGGGGGAAGGGCTTCCAGGGCACCACCATCGGACTGGCCCCTCTCAAAGCCATGTGCTCCGACTACCAGTCTGGTGGAGTTAACACGGTGAGAGACAAACAAACATTTTCTCCTATGTACTCACTTTTAGAAAATAGGGGAAGGGTTGAAGGGTGTGTGCGCCAGATGTACGTGTGTGAGGAAAAAAAAGGTAAGGACCACAATTGAATGCCTGATTAATATTCCTCTAAAACTTCAAATATATCAAAAAATAACTTGATTAGCCGTGTTAAACAAAAGTTTTTGTTATTGAATAAACCAAAAAGATTACCTAATAAATGCTTTTAAGTTTAAATAATTCTAGTTTAGACTAGTGGTATGACGGTGTGTATCCAGTAATGACAGTATCCCCAAAATGCAAAGAGAAACATATTACACAATATGTTGAATATTTTTCTACACATCTTTGAGTAATTTTTGACTCTTCTTTGAGTAGGACCACTCAGAGTCAGCTGTGGGTGTAGCTGCCACCATCGCACACGAGATGGGTCATAACTTCGGCATGAGCCACGATAGTGCAGGCTGCTGCCAGGCCAAGGCCGAGGACGGAGGCTGCATCATGGCTGCTGCTACTGGGTATGAACCAGAAATGACCTACTACCAGACAAATGACAGTTACTAACCCTAATAGGGAAGAGACACACAGAAGATTTAAAATGGCTGATCTCATGAAGTCTTACCTGCTGTGTTTGTTCTCCATCCTCCCCCCAGGCATCCATTCCCACGTGTTTTTAACGATTGCAACCAGAAGGAGCTGAAGAACTACCTGAGCTCTGGAGGGGGGAAGTGTCTCTTCAACTTGCCAAACACCAGATCCATGTACGGAGGGCAGCGCTGCGGCAACGGCTACCTGGAGGATGGAGAAGAATGTGACTGTGGAGAAGAAGAGGTGTGTTGTGTCTCTCGTATGTTGGCATATTTTTCCTTGTATGTTTATAGTAGGATAATGACTCCATATTGTTTGTGTGTAGGAGTGTACCAGTCCCTGCTGTAATGCCAACAACTGCACTCTGAAGGCTGGAGCTGAGTGTGCCCATGGTGTCTGCTGCCAAAACTGCAAGGTACTATAAGAATCTGATGATCATCTTATCAAAGAGAAAATCCTCAACTGGGTTCACTAGATTAACACTGTAGATATTTAATGATATCTCTACAATTCATTATTTCTTCATCAGTGTGTTTCCTAAACTTCTCGTCATCTCTCTATCCAGTTGAAGAGCCCGGGTGTGCTGTGTCGTGCTCCCTCGGGGTCATGTGACCTGCCAGAGTACTGCGATGGGAAGGCAGAGTCTTGTCCGGCTAATTTCTATCTGGTGGATGGTTCGTCGTGTGCAGGCGGGCAGGCCTACTGTTACACTGGCATGTGTCTGACCCTGGAGCAGCAGTGTCTCTCTCTCTGGGGACGAGGTGCGTAAACTGGATGCTTGTTATCTGAACATATTTTGTTCCATAAGGGGAAGTATGTCATTTAAACACGTGTAGCATATTCAGCATTGGAAATGTAGTAAAGCATATACAATCCGTTTCAAGTTTATTGGGTATAACTATCTAAAACTAGAGCTAGTCTGATTGCAAGTTAAGACACTTTCTTGGCTTGGTGTAGTATTACAAAAAAATTAAACCATTAATCAGCAGCTTTTTTCTGTGTTGGTGTGGTAATAATCATTTGGCAACAAGAGGCTGATGTGCAACACTGTGTCATGTTGTAAATAAATAGCATTAAACCATTAAGGTTTTATTCCATGTGAGTTTTATATTGGATAGAGGAACACTTTTTTCCCAACTTATTTCGCAGGTGAAAAATACATTTTCCTGGGATTAAGTTCTTTAGTTTTAAACACAGGCGAGAAAAACAATACAGGTGTAACAAAATAACAATTGTTTAGTTCTCACATGCCTCTTAAAGGCTTGGTACACATCAGATTGACATGTATTTCGATTCAAATGTAATCATGGAATTTCCAAAAGGAGATTCCTGTTCCATAACCTTTTATTTTCAGTGTTTAACTGCATGAGTGGATGATAAATGCTTCAATAAGATCATCTTTTAAATGTGGTTAGATAATACATCTATAAACGATAATTGTTACCATCAAACAATCTTGTATATTTAAAGCAGTATAATATCCAGAGCCTAGTAAAGCAGGGAGTCTGGGTAGAGATAGAGTCCTCAGCGGGTCACAGGATAAGTGATTTTTATTGGACAGTGTCCATATTCCCGTTGTGACGGAGCCTCCTCAGAGAGCCTTTGTAGGACCACAGGAGCCACACAGAAGAGTACGAGATGCCATCTGGTCTCCATCAGGTGGTCACATAACACACTGTGCAGGCATTATCTGCATGTGTGTGTTTGTGTGTGTGTATCTGCAGCCGTATTCATGTGTATGTGTTCCTTTCCTCTCCTGCCACCACAGATGGCCGTCCAGCCCCTGACCTGTGTTTTAGGAAGGTAAACGAAGCCGGGGACATGTACGGGAACTGTGGCAAGGATCTGTTCGGGAAGTACAGGAGCTGTAAGGACAGGTGACGATTAAAACATTATAGAGGGCATTGACATTTCTTGAGAATTTAAACTTGTTATTAATCAATCAACAAACTATATATCTGCTTTTATTATCTCTGCTAGTGATGCTCAATGTGGGAAAATCCAGTGTTTAACCTCAGCCGCCAAGCCCATCGAGAACAATGCTGTCCGTATAGAAACCACTGTCAGTGTGGGCAACAGGAAGATCCATTGTATGGGAACACATGTGTACAAGCCTGGGCAGGGGGACGAGGAGGGGCAGGGGGACACTCTGGACCCAGGCCTGGTCATGACGGGCACCAAGTGTGGAGATGACTCGGTGAGATTTGATTGTTTTGACAGAGATAATTCTTTAGTTGTGTTTTTGAGATTCTGGTTAGTATTATTCCTGTCAGAAAGCCACATTTCATAATTTCTTTGTCAATTACAAAGTTTGTGGCTCAAACCTTTTTTTGTACCACCTATAGAAACTAATTGATTCTCGTGCTCTCTTCCTCACACCCCTCCTTCTCTCTACAGATTTGCTTTAACGGAGAATGCCGCAATGCATCTTTCCTCAGAGCTGATGAGTGCAATGCAAAGTGCCGTGGACACGGGGTAAGTTTCTATGTGTGTCTGAGAAGAAGGAAATGGATTTCCTAGCTGTGTATTTGGCTGCCAGCCCATTATTATGAAAAGCTGGCAAACTTGGCCGTGGTGCAAAACGTATTGAGACCCTTTTTACTTGATTATAAATATCAATATAGCAAAGTGGAAATACCGCATGCATTCTCAATCTTAAAGTAAAAGGGCAGCTGACCATCAGAAACATTTACATAAAGTAACTATAGTTATGTTGCGGAATAAAAAGTATATGTATTTCCTCTCAAATGAAGTGAACTATAGAACTATAAAGTAGCAAAATATTATATTAAAGTAAATTACAAGTAGCTCAGAACTAGAAGTGGTTAAGTTACATGCCAACTCTGGACTCAATTCATATTTGTTTATTTACTTCTGTACCTGCCTGTCAATGTAATGAATATAAACTTGTTTGTTGTATTTCTAATGTGTAATATTGTTTTTGCCCAGCTGTGCAACAACAATCACAACTGCCACTGTGACACGGGCTGGGCTCCTCCTCTGTGTGAGCAGCAGGGGTCTGGGGGGAGTGTGGACAGCGGACCCGTCATCACCCACAGTGAGACACTGAGCTTTTAGATTATAACTTTTCTTTGAAATTATGCACATTTTTGACTTTTTCTATTTAAATGTTCAACAGGCAATCTCCTTCCTGTCCTGGTGGTCCTTCCTCTGGTCCTGTTTGTGGTTCTGGCTGCTGTTGGACTGTTGTTCTACTACAGACATAGACTCCACCCACTGAAGTCCTCCAATCCACCTCCAGTGCCAAGGTATGTCATTCATTACGCAGGAATAATTACAGGATAAGTCCTCTGGTTGCCCATATTGTTTAACATTTCAGGAAGATTTAGGAAATTATATTCTGCAAGTTTAACTACTATTTAAAGTGTGGTGAGAACAGTTTATGTACTGTTGTTAACTTTTTATGAGCTATACTTTTTTTATAAACCTTCTTATTCATCTGTTTTGTATTTAGTGTTTGTAATGGTATGGCTGTACATTCTTGTAACTAAATGCAATAAATGAACAAAAATCATAAATAATATTATTTTGTATTTGTGTCTTACCCCTCAGCTGTTCAGTCCCGGTCGATGGCAAGCCTCTGCATGCTGACGTTCATGTGAACGGTCATGCCAACCCAACATTCTTGCTTAAAAAACAGGACTCGGATAACCTGGTAAAGAAGAGACAGTAATGTACTTTGCTATTATTTGTTAATATTTGAAGAAAGCACTAACTTTGCGATGGTTTCATTCTCCCACAGGGGAAATCTTCTCCTCGTCCCAGCCCGTCTTGCTCTTCTCTGTCCAGGAACGCCATAGTGCGTCCAGCAGTGAAGCCTCCTCCAGTCCCTTTGTATGCTGCAGTACAGAGAGAGCAAACACCTCAGAGACAATGCTCTCCTCAGGGTTACACTCCACCTTCAGCTAAATCTGTGCAACTCAGCGAGCAGAGACGGAACCAGGCTCCTCCAGCACCTCCACATTTACCTTCCAACGATGCCAAAACCCACTCACAGCATTCAGCAGCACCAAAAGCCAGACCAGACCCCCCAAACAGACCTCCACCGCCTTTACCTGTCAACAAGCTACCAGGGGTGAATATTTTTGTCATTCTTTAAGTTATCTCGTGTTGTTCTTGTGAATTAAAATTTGAAATTAAAATTTCGCATTTTTTTATGTAGGAACAGCAACAAATGAAGGGACTGCTGGTTTCCACTAATGCGCTGCAGAGAGGAAAAGCTGCTTTGGCTCCATCTGCTGGACAGAAAAGGCCAAAGAGGTAATATCGCATGTTTTCTTTTAAAGGTCCCATGTCCCATTTTCTACTGATCATAATTCCATTGTTGAGGTCTACTAGAATAGATTTACATTGTTCAATGTTCCAAAATCACATTGGTTTCGCATACAGCATCTCTGTATAGTATGTGTATTGACTCTCTGTCCTACACACCTTGTTGGAGCTCCGGCAGCATAGACATGTTTTTTCTGTGTTAGAGTTTTACTCGCTAGGGTGTACTTTGAGGGTTCGTGACTCTGCAGACCGTTTACATGCAGAAAAAGCTAAATAACTCACAAGGGGACGGGTAATAATCGGAAAAGAATGACATGGGACCTTTAACTGTTCATCTATACAAACTCCTTGTTAACTTCTCTTTTTATGTGTGCTTCTTTTAGAAACTAAGAGCTCAAGGAGAGATTGGGGACCACCACTCACACCCAGTAATGGACTGCCTCAAACTGTTTTTTTGAAAATAGACATCTGAGAATGAAACTTGGGGATATGATCAAAACTTGACACCAAATTACTGTTTATTTGCACTCAGTGTATTGAGGGAAAATGGTAGAATCACAGCAAGTCATAGTATATATCACAATTAGTACATTTTAAGTCTCTAAACCTTAAGATATAGGCTTCATCTGTTTAGTAAATTAGCCCTTTGTGTCTGCTTTCACAACTTGAAATGGCAAAAGCTGTGAATTTAATAACTTTTTATTATGAATGTCCAAATAAGATAATGAAAATGTGAACTAGTTCCATGTGTGCAGCAGTGTTCAAACACTGATCCAGGAGTATTTATTCACAAAGAAAAATGAATGTTTACAATGTAGCCTATGTAATAAACATGGTGTCTCATAAAGAGCATCAGCTGTAAAGGGATATCTTATATTAAGAAAAGATGCCAATGTGGAAGTGCTTACGCGTCTTATGTGTGAATAAGGACGGGATTTTAACAGGACTCAAGTGGACCGGTGAAAGCCCTGTATGCATGCTGTAAGTATATGCTTATGATGAGAGATACATGTCTGACATGTCTGATATGTAGCAGGAAATGTTAGGGACTTATACAAATATTATTAATTTTGTTTTAGTGATTTTGTATTGTTGTTATGTTGCACTTTGAGCAATCTGGTTGGGGTCAAATACTCACTCCCTGAAGGATCTTAAGCCTGTAGGAGGTGAGCGTTTGATACATATTTTAAGTATCATTTTAAACCCACACTCACTCTTATTTCTTAGTTCTGTAACAGACAATCAGTGATGAAGTATTCTTTGTCCCTGGGCAACCTTTCAAACTAATTCAATTTGGGAAAGATACGAGCCATACTTAAATGTCAAAGTCAAACGTCAAAATTACAACATTAATTTCAACAATTTTGCAACCGTTTCTAAAACATTTCAGTTGGACTTCCCCCATGACCAAAAGACTGTAAAGTTACTTTTCTATCTGATAAAACATGACATATATCCCAGTATGTGCAACAGTGATTACTTTGTTGTTACTGTAAGGTACTGCAACAAATCCTGGTCCGTTTGACTGCTTGGTGGGCAGTGACCTGGTTTCAACTGAAATATGGAAATACAGCTGCCATGTTTGGTTTATCTTCTTATCAGACCTATGCAAACTGTGGCACTTTGCAACACTGTGTCTTCAACTGGAAATCAAATAAACACATGAAAAAAAAAAAAAAAGATTGTGTATTGAATTTTACTCTGCTTTGCTTTCTACTTCTACAATCAGGTACACTTCTTTAAAATATTCAGAGATCCAATTGTTATGTGTGAAACTCTGCCCCTCAACCAGCAATGAGTCCAATATCCAAGATGTCTGTTCTGTGTTGAAACATCTGGAAAAAACACAAGGAAAATCTGATGCAGAACAATACAAACACGTGTTTGTTTGGGTGATATTGTTTATTCGTTCTTTGTTGGTACAAAAAAAGGCACATTTTAGTTAAGGCCTGTTTTCAAAATGTAAATACTAACTGGACAAATATTTTCAAGCTGATGAGTAAAACCGTATCACAGTCACTCTAATGTCTTGCACTACTATACAGTCAGAAGTTGGCCTACATTTAATTTAAATTAAAGTTATATAGGCCTACATGGTGGTTTGTCATGCATCTGAATCTCAGAACGGCACATACACTGTTTTCCAAACCCGGTTATTTTAATCATCTAACAACAGACATACTTATTGATGGGCTTTATATTGAATAGACTTTACCAAAACAGCTTTGAATTTAATTGAATTCCCGTTTTGACCGGTAGGGGGCAGGCAGTGCTACAACCACAACCTAGAAGAACAACATGGACTCGTCTCATGTGTTGTAATGGCGAACTTGCTGGCAAACATTAGCTTTTTGCACGTGAAGCAGGAAGAAGTCAACAAAAACATTAATTTGAAGTATTGTTTTAACAGCCTGAAGAATGTAAGTCCAATAGCTACTCTACTTTTAATTCTGTTCAAGTCCTGAGGGAAATATCTGGCTCATTATCGGCTAAATGCTGACATGTGTTGACATGCTAGCTTCTTACTTTGTCCTGTCTGTTGTGACATTGAAGACAGGCTCAGTAGTGTACAGTGGGATTGTCAGAGTTTTTCACTGAACCTGTTAGAGTAACACTTTGGTGACTTCAATCCCCAATAATTAGTTAGAGATGCTAAATGCACTATTCAGCTGAGGGGAACTACAGAGTTGTAAGATCATTTTCTGAGGATTCATCACTAGAAGCAACAACTTTATTTGCTATACCAAGTAGGCCTATTGCCAATTTAAAATGGTACATCCACATTAGTTAATTGGCAGTTTGAGGGGGGGGGGGGACTTGTTTATTTGGTTGTGTGTTATTAAATGCCTTTAATGCCTTCAAAGCATCTCCCTCTGCCTATGAACAGATCAATATAAATCTATAGTGTATAGGTTTGAATGACATACCCTCTTAGCACTGCTGGAAGCGCTGAAAGGTGCCTGCCCTTCAGATCTCCACATCCTTCACTGAGATTAAAGCTCTCTGATTTATTCTAATCAAAAGACTGCTAAATACCAATGCCAGACCCCCCCACCACTATCACACCACATAAACACACACACTTTTGAGGTGACTCTCTTTGGACTGCGGTGCCAGGTGATCTTCCACAAGACCAGAGGGAGGCGAAGGTAGCTGTGACTAAGCAGTCAAAGGTTTTAACATGTGGCCTAATTGCAGCGTTCCCTGTAGAGCATAATTAGTGTTAGCTGGCATGTCACTTCCTGTGGAGTTTCATTTATTAGAAATTATGATTGGCTTGAGATAAAACACAGGGGTGACACCCCCGCCTCCCCTCACAGTGGGAGGAGGTCAGTGAGGAGAGGATCTCACCTGCTGAAAGCTCCCCTGCCTTGGATAATGACCTAATTAAACCTGACTTGTTTTTCCACTTGTAACGTTGATTACCTCACTAATTGTTTCACCAATTGTCTCTCAACCAGTCCCTTCTTTCTGCTCTAGATTTGTTATCCTTCATTATCACTCTTTTTATTTGTTACTCACATGTCTTTTTTTTGGCTTTGCTGTTTAAAGTAAAAAAGAGCAAAAAAAACCTCTCCAAACATTCAACATTATGAACTGTAAGAAGGTTGATCAATGTATCAGACCCTAAAATGACCCAAAAACATGCTTGCTGCAATGTTGTTTGGCCTGTTCGCCTGAAGTCAATGTGGTCTTTTTGCTTTATTTTCTTGTCAGAGACTACCAGGATGCGTAGTTTACATGTTAAAAGCAACAACAACAAAATTCTCAGGCCTGAGAATTTGCAGGGGTTCGGTTTGCAAACATCGTATGTTCATCAACATGTGAGTGTCACTGTGGAGAACAGGCGTGTCCAAGACTCTTAAAAAGAGACGGAGATAATTGGCTTCCTCAATAATGTTCCCCTGGCCACACATAATGGTTCCTACGAAAACAGTCTGTGACCTGACTCTGTAAATCCTGTCTATACAGGTGTTTTTGACAAATAGTACGGCAATTAGTGTGTACAAAAAAAAAAGGGTTGCGTGCAATACAGTTTTATTTTTATCTCAGAAAAGTGTCCCAACCATTTTGAAAACAAAGTGACGCACATGCGATGCAATTTATTTGAAGTATTTGGTCAAAAAGTATTTGGATATCTGATTTTCTCCGTAACTCCAAGGGATTGCCTTCATGTGGCTGAGACTGACACTGCTTTTTTATTGAAAACTACTTCATTCAGTGTTTCAACTTCTTTATTTAACTTATCAAATATGTACTAAATATGTGATAGATTGCACCAGTTGTTTAACAGTGAGTCACAGCTTCAGGCCTTTCTAATTAACAAATAGTAATTGCAAATAGTGATTTACTGCCTCATTTACATAGGTAAATGTCAGAGCTCAAAGTGGCAAACTGTACAGGCTGGAAATAGTGGACACAAAGTGTATTTTTAAAGATGGTATCATTAATGTTCACAGTTACTGTTTATGTGTTTTTGCTGTTAAATAACCTTTAATAATTTCTCTCTTCATACAGTGAAGGTTACATTGCATTCTAACAATGAGTGCATAGCTTTTTTTGCCTTCAGTGTTTATGGCCGGGTCACCACCCCGGAGACTGATGCTGGGTTATATAGTTAAGTATTGCTCTGCTGGAGGTACTTGCCTGTAGCAATAAAAGGTCAACATCAATGATTAATGAGAGGAAAATGTCATAAGGGAGAGGGGTGAGCAAAAAGTGGTGTAAGATAATGTGGAAAGAGTCCTTTATCCTAAAAATGTCTTCTTCTTTTTTTCTTGAACTTTACATTTATGCAAACCTTATACCTTTGATGTACATTTTGAATGTAGGTCCTTTTTGGCGTGAACATCTTCATTATTTACACTCAATGTTCAGCACAGCTGGGTTGCTTTTAAATCAGACAGACGAATCGATTGCAGATCAGCTTGAGCACAGTTTCCTCTTGATGATTATCCCTTTAATTGTGAGACATTTAGGTCAATACATTGAAATTTGTTATGAGCTTCCCACAGAGGCGGGTCCACTGACACAACTTCAGAGTTCAGACGAAAGCTCTTTACCTCTAATGAGAACCCATGGTAATTCTAATGGATGCCCTTGTAAAATAATATTTAATGACCTGGTGTCAGCGGGAGACCATCCGCTGATGTCTGATACATCTCATTAAGTCCTGAATGTACAAGTGTGTGTCTGTATGTGTCGTTGATTGAACCAATAACAGGAGCATTCCTGTTTGAACTTCACCTAAAAAATGAACTGTTGTGCTTCTAATTTTTCTCTAATATCTTCACCCCAGGACAATGTTATCACACAGAGGCAACCTTTTTAGAATTGTCTTTATTGTTAACACTATTCATTCTGATGCACAATGATTAGCGACATAAAGCTCTCTCACAAAAAGAGTACAGAAAACAAACACTTTCTCCACTTTCACATACACAAATCTGCTTATCCAAAGAGTATACTCATACAATGATTGCACATGAGTGCAACATACATTTACGGATGTTAACATGTACTTCCAATATGCCACATAAAGATTTTTTGCAGCATACCAGTCGTTAAACATTTGACTACTCCCACAGTGGGTTGTTCAGTTAATTCAAGAAACCTGTCATTTACAATGTTTAATATACCAAAGAGTATACTGAAATATATATATAAATTAGGGCCGGGACTTTAACGCGTTAATTAAGATTAATTAATTACACAAAAATTAACGCATTTTAATCGCACTTATTTTTGCACCGCGGAACGTTTCTCACTGGATGAGTTTCAGGCGTACCGATTATACTGGAGCACCAACTAACGTTCATGACTTCAGACAACAACAAACCACAGTGAACAACAGTGGGAAATGTTGTTTTAAAAAACGGACGGATGGAAGCGTCGATAAGAGCACGGTTGTGTGCAAATTATGCAAAAAGGAATTCGCATATCACCGCAGCACATCAAGCCTCAAGTATCACCTCAATGCAAAACATATAGCAGCCAGCGTGGAAGCTAGCGTGGACGTTAGCCTCTTTTATCGCGTTCACACCAAAAAGAGCTGGTACTAAAATTAGTTCATGAGAACCTTTTTACACCCACGAAAGTCCCTGCTAGAGAGCAGGGACTTTCGTACGGCTCTCTTGTGAGAAAAGAGCTATATTTCTGATTGGCTGGGCGGATTGCAAACCACGCCCCGTAAAACTCCCAAAAAGTTTTGTGAAGCCGCCATTTTATTATCCTCGCATTAGCATTATTAGCATTAGCCCAGCGCAGAAACGCAGAGAGACTAACTTATGGCAACACAAAATAAAACATGGGAGCGGTGGAGATGAGGAGGTGTCGGCGTTCTGGCGATTTACTCGGAAGGCTTCAGTAGAAGCTGCTGGGACTCCCAGCAGCTTCTACTGAAGCCAGTCCCCAACTCCGAGGACTTTGGGCGGCAGTATACGCCGTGAAGTGGTTTGCGGCCTGCCAGTAAACCCAAAGCAGAAGAAGAAGAAGTGACGTCAGTGGCTTCATTTGCCTAATCCTCCCCCAGGTTCAAAGAGTTCTCATGAACTAAGTTCTCATGAACCTTTGTGGGAAAAGTACTGCGGTGTGAATGCGCCTAATGGTATACTAAAATCCATGTGAAAAAAATTGCTTCTCACTGTTCTCAGGTCAAATATTTATATGTGATTAAAAATGCGATTAATTTCGATTAATTAATTACAAAGCCTCTAATTAATTAGATTAATTTTTTTAATCGAGTCCCGGCCCTAATATAAATATATACTGTGTATTGAATTCACATTATCATCATTAACAGAAGCGTTATTTACAGCCACCAAAGTAATTTCACCCTAATTATTCTTCCATTATATATTATATACTTTTTTTAAATTCCAAACACAGAAGAAAGACAATATTGTGTAATATTTATCATATATACTGAAGTTACTGCTCCACTTGTACTCCCCTCTTGTATTGCACGTCTTACCTTTGAATAATTACATTAACACTGTTGACAGAATACAATGAATTGATAGTGCAGTGAGCAGCAGTACTTAAACTGAGATCTGTAGATGAAGAAGCTGCTGTCTGAGGACCATCTTGGTGTTATTTTTCCCCCTCTTTGTTTTGGTTCTCCCACGGCACTGGATCATTTCCCTCCGCATTAGATCCAGTCTCCCTCATGTGCCAGAACTGCTCCAGATCAGGCAAGACGATCCCATCTTTGAGACTCTCTGTGTCTACTTCTCGCTCTCCTCCTTGCTCTGGCTGGGGCTCAGCCTCTCTGCTGGGATCCTGGCTGGAGGTTGATCGATTGTTCTTCTCCCCCCGCAGCTGGAACGAAGTCTCCGGTCTGGGGCGAGGAGACTGGAGACAAGTAGGGTTGTGAGGTCCGGGTTTTTTCTTGGTAGGACGATGTTTGCGCATGGTGAGGCGCCTCCAGAGCCCCCTGTAGCCCTCTCTGAACTCCTCTGAGAGGGAGAGGACGATTAGAGGGTTCACCAGGGACAGGGAGAAGGTGAGCAGCTGAACAGAAAGGGTCAGAAGAGGGGGAAGAGAGGAGACGAGAGGCTTGGCTCCTGCAATTTCCTTTTCTGCTATATGACGCTCCCAAACCCACTCCACCCACTGTGGAAGCCAGAGAATAGCCATGGCCACGGTCAGGCTGAACAGCATCAAGGTAAGCTTCCTGGACCTTATCTGTGTGCGCAGGTTCTGAGACTTACTGGAGCGCCGCTGGCACTGGCTGTAAGCCCTCCAGAAATATATTAGGGCAAAGCTGAGGGGTGCACAGTACACTCCCACGGGGTAAGCTTTGACGTACACAGCCATGAAGTCCCGGGCTTCAGGAGGAACCACCATCACACACACCAGTCCACGAGCTTCTCTCTGGAGCGTGGCAAACAGCCAGTGAGGGATGGTGACGGAGCAAGCGGACAGCCAGATGAAGAAGAACACCACCAGGATGGAGCCCAGGTGGATGCTCACCTGCTTGTTGGGGTTGGAAACGTAGCGGTAGCAAGCTTTGGCCATGATGGCAACCGTGAAGCTCTTGGCTGCCATGCAGGACTGGAGGAACCAGTCGGCCGTCTTGCAGACAACCCAGCCCAGAGTCCAGGAGGCTTTGGAGTAGACTGCAGCCCTGAAAGGCACCGCGAACAGCAGCACCAGCCCATCGGCAAACATCAAGTTGAAGACCAGGGAGTTGATGAGAGATAGTTTGCCCCTGTGAGCGCTGGAGAACAAGATGGCCATCGCAGTGAGGTTACAAGCCGCACCCAAGAAACAGATGACTCCTAGAATGGCCGGCATCAGGACCCTCAGCTCCCCGGGGTCCAGGTGTGGGTACAAGCCACGCTCATTGAAGGACCACTTGTCTATAGAGCTGTTCACAAGTGTTGCATTGTTCCCACTCAACTTATCCATCTTTCCCAAAAAGATGGGGAGATGATATAAGAAGAAACACTAGGAAAAGTTAAAGCCTGCCAGGAGAAGAAGGTTCTGGGAAGAAGGAGAAAATGATAAAAATAATGATTTAATATGTTAAGCAAAGCTACCACTTTAAATCTAAACCTGATTGAATAACTGCATCAGACAGAACTATCGATTGCCGATCAATAATCAGTGGAGCTCCTGTCTGTCCCAGGGTTTATTCTGAGACGCAATGATGCAGCTTCTGCCGCTGGTTATAAAGATGCAGTTTGATTGACAGCTGCTGTCCCCTGCTGACGAAATGTGCGTCGACTACTGCCTCACGGGGCCAATTAGAAAAACTCTGCATAATGTGCACAGTAGGACACAGGAATGTATGGGATAGCTAATTTACAGTTTTCTTATACTAATGCTTGACTTCTGATGTTTTTGATATAGCCCAATGGCCTTTAAAACTGTGTTCATGGTCTTCTATAACATCTGAAGCATCCACCAGCAATCTAGATGGATTCGGTCAATTATGTATGTTATATGTTGGATTTCTGCTCCTATAATGGTAAATTACACAATATGAATAATCAAAACATTTAATAAAATTGTCAATTTGGCTCTTCATTTGAAATCAACCACCGACTGTGTCCAGTGGAGGAAAATCCTGTTTCATCCAGACTGCTTTTATATGTCTAACTCCATCCACACGAGGGCCCTCTTGCACCACAAGCAGCAATGAATCATTTGAAGTACATTCAGCGTTATAAACAGAGGAGGTCCAGGGCTTTCATCTTGCACATCTTCTTTATTCAAAGAAAGTCCATTAAGCATAAAGACTGCATGGTAATTAATTGCATTTCATTACATTCTGAGCTATAAAAGTTTTTTTTTTCAATTAGAAGTGTCACAAAGGAGGTTGTTTAGAAGACATTACTGTTTAAAGGAATCACACTTAATAATTCCCTGATTTCACAGAGTTCATTTAGACCTTTGACTGCTTTTCTTTATGGGAGTTGGCTCTTAAAAACTAATCTGAGACAAATGAAGGTCTCCCGACTGATCAGAGCTTAGTGCTGAAAAACAAACCTGCTACTGTTCCACGTTACCAATCTTTAACAAGAGGAGGAACGTGGACAGGCAAATATTTTTACTTGCATTGTGCTTCAGATGATCTGTAGATGTTCAAAATATCTATGTGCAGGCTGTCGGGTCCATCAGATTAAGATCCAACGCATGCAAAAAGAGCTACGCTAGCATTATGTTACCCAATGAACTTTAATAAATCATCGTAAAAAATTGACAGTTCTACAATCTACAGATCATTTTCAGTACAATCCAAACGGGCGAGGTGTTTTTTTTCAAACAGGGCATTTGCAAAACAATTATTTGTTGTGTCTTTGTCATGTCTTTTGCAAATGGCTGACATCTGACTGACTGCAATGTGATAAGAGCAACAATAACTTTGTACATATCACAGCGTTCCCCCCTGAAGAACAAGCATGTAGCCGGTGCTATGATGTCCTCATGACTGCATCGCTTCTAGCTCTTCTTTCCATTTGGAAAACTCAGAAGAGCTATTTTGTTTTGTTTTTGATGGAGAAAGACAGAAATAAAAATCCTAAATCAACATTTCATTTGAAACATTCACACTCCTGCCTTGTACTCAATCCCCACCGCCCTCCCGCCCCCACTACATCAACCCCCCCCACATACCAAAAGAAGGCACCACAGCTTCTAAACAGACTCATTGACCGAGCGAAGGACTCAATAAAACAACAGCATTAAATAAAACCATTGACACACCCTGGAAGGGCTTCATTCACATTACAGACGACAGCAGTCTCACCAGGGAGACACAGAATTGGTACTAGAAGGACTGACCATGTTGTGTCCAAAGCAGAGAGAACTCTCGGTATCTGGGGTCAGAGATTTACAACCTCCCTCTCTTTAGTAAGAGTTGTGCAGCAGGTTGCACTGTCCGCCCCAGTTAGAGGCTGCAGGGTTGTTCACATGCACTGCAGCATGAGCAGAATGAAAGAGAGGGGGCACTGTTGCTACATGACAATGAGCCACCATCATGTAAGCTAGGTGTCTGTCTGTGTGCTCTTCTTAAAGTTCAGTGTAACCCCTTCCTCCAGGGTCCCTCCGGAGGGCTGCTACATCACGTGATTCATGCAGCAATCCTCTTGTTGCACGGGATTCACTTCTCCAGGTGTCCGCATGGCTAAATAAATTAAATAAGAAGTCAATTTGAAGAATGAAAGTCCATTCTCAAATTCGACAAATCTTTTTTTTTTTTTCGAACGCTGTATCCAGATTGTATCAAATTCCCAAAATAAAACAGCGTCCATATTTCAGTCCCTGGATACTGATCTCTGCACATCTTCAGCAAAATTCAAGACTGGCAGCAACAAGTCATAGGGAGAAGAGGGGAAGGATGCAGGTTGGGCTCCATCTTTGTCTTCCTCCGACCCTAGCTCTCCCTGCAGCCCCCTCATGTGAAGGGGTGAGGGGTCAGCAGAGGCCGATCGCCCCTTTAGTTGACTTTGTCTTGGAAGATGTACAGGTTGTTGGTGGCCGCTACAGCGATGATGTTCTCATGGGGGTGCCACGTAGTGTGGAGGATCTTCTTGCTGAAGTCAAGGCTGTCTACACTGATCTCATCCTTACGCCGCTTCCCACCCACACACACCTGGAGGACAACAGTAGAGATGAAGAGGCGTTAATATTCGATTGTGCACACATTAACATATTTCAGTGATGTTAAAGCTGCATTGTTAATATCACCTTATAGAGTAGATATAGTTATTTCATTAGCAGTTGCCTATTTACACACCCTGGAGACATGTAGCAAAATAACCATTCATTTAAAGTCATGTGTCCAACCCAAAATGAACGCCCATATTAACTCTACTTTTAGCTCTGTTATAGTCTCTAACCCCTGATGCTAAATGTTTTGTCTTTAGATGCTAAATTCTACACCAAGTTATTTAGCTATAGTTGCTAACTTTGTCTGTATGCTCTTTGTTGCTAGCAGAAACTACGTATATACAACACATATGGTAATCGTCATGAAACTTTCTCCACTGTCTTCTACTTTTAAAAAAAAAAATTCCAGCTGCCTCTGGATATCAGTTAACCTGTATTCATGATTTGTGCTTTACCTTGCGAGGCTTGAGAATGGCTCTGGGTTTGCTGTTCTCCCTGGACGCCTCCAGTGTGACGTCACGTTTAGTGTTCCGGTCGAACATTCGGAAGAAGTTGTTGTAGGAGCCGGTCATAATGACACTGAAGAGGAGAAGAGAGATTGCATTTATTATTGAGATAAACTAATGGATGGATGGATGGATGGATAAGAAGTGAATCGTACCTGTCTGATCCATTCCAGACGCACTCAAACTTGTCGAAGATGCAGTCATTCTCATACAGAGAGCAAAGTTTGCCACGTAAGTAGTCGTGAACCTGACAAATAAAAATAAAAATATGAACATCTGAAGATTTTAGATCCACCAACGACCTAAGTTCCTCACATCGCCATAAACTGCTCTACCATATGTTCTACTTTCAATAATCCCTTTCAGACCTGGTGACCCTTGCTAAGACCCTAGCTAGCAGGTGGAGGCGCTGCTGGAATTGAATGGGGAATCCCTTGAGCCCGGCTGATGGCGTTATCAATCATGACCTGCCCTAAGATGGCTTCCCATGATCAGACAGTGTGGATCTGACCCCAGTGACCACACAGTGGGAGGTTATGCCCTTCAGGTTGCATCAGCAGCGGCACTATCTGTCTTTTTACCGACAGTCAGCTCAATAAGCCCGCCTGGGGTAATCGCTGAAGATGACAGTTACAGATTGGCAGGGGGACAGTGAAACAGGATTATGTTGAGCGATTAGTCTGAAATCAATACGTTTTGATTTGATCTTGACATTATTTAGCATTTTTCTCGCCGCCTTCGAACTAACAGGCTCATAAAAACAAGATGAAAGCTTACCTGGTACGTCTCTAGTGGTTTGTTCTCCATTTGAAGGTCCCACACTTTGACAGTGAGGTAGTCCCTTGTCATCAGGTAGCGGCCGTTATGGCTGAACTTCACGTCAGAAATGGACGAGATGATTTCAGAGAAAAAGGAGCGAGTGGAGGGATCCTCAGGCTCCTCAAAGTCTAGGAGAGAAAAACAAAAAGCAGTTATCTTCTGACAGAGAAAACACATTTTACACCATGGGAGGTCGCTGCCTAAAAAGGATGTTCTTCCTCCGGCAGGTCTTTTAATCATTCGCATTGAGAAAAAAACAAGGCAGATTTAGTTTGGGTGGTGGGGGCCGTCATTAGCAAACGATAACAGCCACAACAATGCTTTGGTGCGGAGTTTGCCGCAGCAGCTGCATCTCTTCATGGCATTATTTCTGCGTGTGTTTAGGGAGGGAGTGGTGGGTCAGCAGCATGCTGGGTAAATATTGGTTATGATTCACATTGATTCTGGCAGCTGCTGATCTGTGTGCAGGCCAACACGCTGGGGATAAGAGCCAGGCATTCCATCGTTAGCTATCAAGTTATTGTTCCTCCTCCTCTTTTCCTCCCACCCTTTCTCCCCTCTCTACTCTCCATCTCTCCAAAAAATGCCCCCTCTCCTCCTCCTCAGCTGAGGCCTGGAGAATAGCTCTGTGATGTGTCAATGGGGAGTCTAACAAGGGATACGAGAGATGAAAAATGGGGGGATGAGGAAGGGATAAGGAAAACAAATCAATGTCAAAGTGCTGGGCCCATTTTGGCCCCACTGGATTTGTGTGTGTGTCAGTGAAGGAGCTTAGGGTGTGTGCAATATGTGCATGTATATATGCATGTATATGTGCGTCCCTGCCCTTCCTCCCTTTCCCACTGCAGGGGTGTATAATAGGGTCCCTGGGGAGTGGGCATGGGGGCTGCTGGGTCTCCCTCTCTGTGTCCTGGGGCCCTGCGCTTTGGCAATCCTCCCCTATACATCTAACCATCCTCAATCTGACACCAGCAGCAGGAATGGGAGGGGATACAGTATGATTGTGTTTTTTATGTACAAGGTTAAGGAAGTATTGAGTATGTGAGTGTGTGTTAAGGGACGGAATGTGTGTGTGTGCATGCGTGGGAGGGAAATATCGCTCTGAGCCATACACTGTTCATGCAGTGAGACAGTATGACCTGTCCCAAGGCTAAAGAGAGCACCTGCCTGCTCTGTGTGTGTGTGTGTGTGTGTGTGT